GGGTGCATCACGAGGTCAAGAGTTCGAGACCAGCCTGGCCAACATAGTGAAACCCCATCTCTACTAAAAATACAAAAATTAGCCAGGCATGGTGGCACGCTTCTGTAGTCCCAGCTACTCGGGAGGCTGAGGCAGGAGAATCACTTGAACCCAGGAAGCAGAGGTTGTGGTGAGCTGAGATGGCACCACTGCACTCCAGCCTGGACAACACAGTGAGACTCTGCCTCAGAAAAAAAGTGTAAAAAAAATTAGCTGGGCGTCATGGCACACGCCTATGGTCCCAGCTACTTGGGACACTGATGCGGGAGGATTGCTTGAGACCAGGAGGTGGAGGCTGCAGTGAGCTGAGATTGCACCACTGCACCCCAGCCTGCATGACAGAGAGAGACCCAGTCTTGAAAAAAAAAGAGAAAAGAAAAAAAGGTTGGAGTCTTCTTTTGTTAATCGTTTTGGAAATAGAAGATACATATTAAAATGCGCACAAACAACAGGTTTACAGCTTGATAAATGTTCACAAACTGAATACCCCCACGAAACCAGAACATTAATTACCAGCATCCCATAAGGTCCCTGGACTCCCCTTTTAGCCACTACTACCCACCAAGGTTAACCACTATTCTGATCTCTAATAACATAGATTATATTTGCCTCTTTTTGTTTTTATATAAATGGAATCATACAGTATGTATCATTTAGTGGCTGGCTTCATTGCTCAGCATTCTGGTTACACGATCCATCCGTATTGTTGTATGTAGCTGTAGATCATTTATTCTCGATACTGTATAGCGTCCCATTGTGTGAGCATTCCACAGTTTATCCATTCTACTGTTGATAGACATCTGCGTAGTTTCCAATTGGGGACTATTATGAATACTTATGGATATTTTAGCACGTGTCTTTTGGTAAACATATGTACACATTTTTCTTGCATGTATATCCAGGAGTGAAACTTCAGAGTCATAGGGGTGGTGTTTGTAAAAGCTACAACAGTTTTAAGTCTTTCCAAAGAGGATTTCTTAAAGTGTGGATTTGAGCCTCTACTTCCACCCTCTCACATCTGCCCAAGAACCAGAAGCCAAAAAGGGTGTGGATTTTAGAGAAACACTGTATGGTGAGCATCGCCAGAACTATAGTCAAAGGGTCCCAGTGAAGGAGGCCCCCATGAGCCCCATAGAAGAAGCCATATGCCAGGAACACGGCTCAACCTACGGAAACATTTTAATGTAGCACAGCATTGGTCCTGTCTCCACGTGGGCATTGTGAAGGGCTACTGCTGAAGGGGCTAGCCTTTGAGCTCTGGTTCTGGACAGCTCGTTTTCATCTGGCCAACTCCACTCCTTGGCTATGTGACCTTGGGAAGGTCATTCTTTCTCTCTAGGCCTCACTTTTCTCATCTTTCTGATGTGTGGCTGCTTTCTGCTCTGAACTTGTAGTTGAATGTTCTAAATGCCTCACTAACAGGAACCACATCTTCACCTTCCTCCGTGTTCCCAGAGATCACCTCCTGCTCTACATACCTATGGGCACAGTAGGTCACTGGACAACACGTGTCTTGCAATTTCACTTTCTAAAGAAAAAAGAATCTGCTTTTATGGTTTCAGTGATGCACAAAATGAGGATTCAATTGGTGCATTAAAATTAACAACATGGTATGTGTGTGCCTGTCCAAATATAGATGTTATACTGCACACCAGCTTTATGGAAAAATCCATTTCCATTCTTGTGCAACTGATTTTTCTCTGAAGGAACAGAGCAGAGACCATCTATGTATCATAAATTTGTCAACTCACTGTTTTACCCAAGGACGTTGGGTAATTAGAAGATTCCAACATAGACCCAAAGAATTCTTCTCTTCATCTGGGAACTTGTTTTATCACTTGCTACTGCCTTGTTCCTAATGCTTAGCATTTAAAGGTTATATATAGGGGAAAAAAAAGACTCCAGACATTATGTAGTCACTGTCTAGAATGGCATTATATTTTAACAAGATATTATCACTCTGGCAAAAGGAAATCATTTTTAGTGGGTAGGAAATTATTATGCAGTATTCTTCAAGCAATTAGAAATCACATTGTTGTGTGGTGAATGATCAGCTCTTCTTGCTGGAGTTTGTTATTATACTGTTTGTATTTAAAATATGGGGCTGCAGAGAGAAGGTTTTTTTAGTAGAAGCGTGAACATTCTAAGCAGCTCAGGCAGGTGAGCCATGATGCAATTTTATTTCCCAGGAAATTCTGGAGTTCCCCTGAAGTTCCCTGTCTTACTTCACCCATAGAAACCTTGAATTCTTTCCCTTTAGCTAAGGAATACTTAGCTAGTCACCCCTAGGGCTTTATAGGGAACTGACAACTTAAAGCTTGGTATCGATCCAAAAGTTTGTTGGAAAATCTGTCTTAGAGCAGATTTTCTTCAGTTCTGTATGAATGACTCTGGTTCCTAAGCAAACCACCAGAGCCCATGTCACTGATAGGAAATGAGACTCTAGTATTAATGATGGTCAAGAACCAGTTACTCGGTAGAGTGTTATTTCTTGGTGAAAATCTACTCTAAGCTCTTTCTTGTGAGAACAGAAACTCAGCTCGCCTTCTCTCCTCCCTTCTGTACTCTATTGTCAGAAGTGGGGATTCCTACAGCATGGAGGATTGGAGTGTGCAGGACAGGAAAAGGAGTTGGAAGGAATCCAGAAGTCTGAGCAAAGGCAGGGGTTTCCCAGCAGTGACAGAAAGAGAAAGGGAAAAGGAGCAAGGGTGGGCTCAGCAATGATGCAGGGGTAAAGGCAAGGATATTTATAGCTTCAGCTGCAATCAGAAGGAAAGTCCCTAGACACAGAGATGATTTTGCTCATGGGACATTGGCAACTTGTACAGTCATAATTGAGGGACTATCCCAGTGCATACACAAGTTGATGCTTTAATATTCACTCAAGCCTACTGAAACTTAACCTTTCTTTCTGCTTAAAAAAATCATAAAAATAAATCATTCTACCAAAAAAAAACAAAAAAGAAAAGATACATGCACCTGTATGTTCATCGCAGCACTATTATCGCAAAGGTATAGAATCAACCTGGGTGCCCATCAATGGTGGATTGGATAAAGAAAATGTGGTACATATACACCATGGAATACTACACAGCCATAAAAAAGAATGAAATCATGTCCTTTGCAGCAACATGGATGGAGCTAGAGGCAGGTATCCTAAGCAAATTAACACAGAAACAGAAAACCAGATACCACATGTTCTCACTTACAAGTGAGAGCTAAACACTGGGTACATAAGGACATAAATATGGGAACAATGGACACTGGGGACTACTAGAGGGGGGAGGAGGAAGAGGGGCAAGGGCCAAAAAACTACCTCTTGTGTACTATGCTCACTGTCTGGGTGACAGGATCATTAGTACCCCAAACCTCAATGTCACACAATGTATCCATGTAGCAAACCTATACATGTACCTCCTGAAACTAAAATAAAAGTTGAAATTATTTTAAAAATCATACTTTAGATATACAAAAAGGATACAGAACAATCTAACAAATATCCAGCTTAAGATATAAAACACTTCAGATATAAGATGAGCCCTCTGTTGCACCAATTTTCACTCTCATTCTCTCTACCCCCAAAACAGCTACAAGTTTGGTATTATCATTTCCATGTGTATTTTTATTTTATTATATGTAGATCATATATATGTATATTATAAATCTATGGAAGTTATATCCTATTATAAATCATTAGGGACATATGTTTATCCTAAATTATTTATAATATTTTTGCATATCTTAACATTTTATAAGTGGTAGCACTTTCTTTTTTTGAGACAGGGTCTCATTCTGTCACCTAGGCTGGAGTGCAGTGGCACAAACATGACTCACTGCAGCCTTGACCTCCTGAGCTCAAGCAATCCTCCTGTCTCAACCTCCCATGTAGCTGGAACCACAGGTGCACACAGCCATACCCGGCTAACTTTTAAAAAATTTTTAATAGAGATAATGTCTCACTTTGTTGCCCAAGCTGGTCTCAAACTTCTAGGTTCAAGCAATCCTCCTGCCTCAGCCTCTCAAAGTGCTGGGATT